ATTTTCCCGCTAGCATTGGGTTACACATAACATTAATTACAAATGACAACAAATAACACAGAATTGATATTCCAAGGGAGAAAAGATGTTCAGTCAACTAATTTCATAGTTAGAAAAAAGAAAAGGGAGAAAAGATGTTCAATCAACTAATTTCAGAGATAGATATGCCAAAACAAAAGATAACAAGAAAATATGACCAACAACAAAACTACAATTTTTCACCCGAATTTTGTTTTCTTACTTCTATCCTTTATTCATATTTTATTCAAGCTAAACCAGTTCTAACAAAGTCTAAAGCAAGAAATATTCTTTTCACTTCACTTCTCAGACCATATACAGATAGTCCCCTACTTACGAACATTCTACTTATGAAGATTCCATACATACAAACAAAATTTTTTAAGTACTAAAGTCCAAAAGATTGTTTGAAAGATGCTAGCAAACTTCAAATTTCCCGGGCACGAATATAATTCAAGAGTCTGGTACTGTATAAGGTATGTCGTACTTATTGGGATTTATTTACAGGTATTCTAAACAAAACTTTAAAAATATGGGAAAAATAGTAATGGAGACCCAACTTTCGACATACAAACAAATCAACTTACAAACAGCCTCTCGGTCCCCATTATGTTCTCAAGTTGGGGACTTACTGTATTTGATATTGCAAGTTCCATATAAATATAAATAACAATATTCTCTTCAACATCACACATATCAACACCACACCTATTCAAACCACAATTTTAAATATTTACAAAATCACAATTCTTTCTCTCACCTCCTCCAAGCATATATTTTCAAACACTCAAACGCATATTTCAACTAGGAAAGTCTCTTGCTCTCTCCTACTTTCTCTGAGCAGGCATTTCCTTCCAATTTACAGACCTTTCAACATAGGTAAACATAGGTAAAAAATCTTCTCTGAACACATCTCCCTACAACCACACACCTTAAACCAACAAATTCACCCTTCCTCTCACCTTGTCTGAGCACATATCCTCCTCTAGAGCAGCTGAAGGGGGAGGCAGGTGTATCCAAGTTGCGAAAAGGTCATGGTCCAGAATCTCATTTCCTCCTGTAAGCCTGCTCACTATCACACCCACCAGCAATGTTATCAGGAAGCCTATAGCTGCTATCCACATGTATGACACTGCATAGATCTCATGGAGGAAAGAGGTGCTGTGAAAGAAAAAGAAAAAGAAAATGGAGCTAGGGAATATATGAAGAAGATGATATGAAGATGAAGATCATAGTGTTAGTTTGAAGACAGTGATAATAATGGTAAAATTGATAACAAATAACACTGATAATAACTGTAACACCAATAATAATAAAAAATTAACAATAATGATAATGACAATAGTAACAGCAATTAGTAACAACAACAACAATAATTATATTATTTATAATATAATAATCAATAATAACAACAACAATATTATAATAATAATAAAAACAATAACAATAATGATAAGGATAACATCAATAATAATAATAACAATAATAACAATAATAATAATAATAATAATAATAATAATAATAATAATAATAATAATAATAACAATAATAATAATAATAACAATAATGATAAGGATAACATCAATAATAATAATAACAATAATAACAATAATAATAATAATAATAATAATAATAATAATAATAATAATAATAACAATAATTACAACAATAACACTTTAACAATAATAATAATAATAATAATAATAATAATAATAATAATAATAATAATAATAATAATAATATTAATAACAATAATAATAATAACAATAATTACAACAATAACCGTTTAACAATAGTAATAATAATAATAATAATAATAATAATAATAATAATAATAATAATAATAATAATAATAATAATAACAATAATAATAATAATAATAATAATAATAATAATAATAATAATAACAATAATAACAACAATAACAGTTTAACAATAGTAATAATAATAATAATAATAATAATAATAATAATAATAATAATAATAACAATAATAATAATAATAATAATAATAATAATAATAATAATAATAACAATAATAATAATAACAATAATAATAATAATAATAATAACAATTTAGCAGTTAACAGTTTAACAATAATATTAACATCACTGTTCAGTCTCACAATATAGCTTACCTCTCCACAACTTCAGCACTATCAACACCTTGTGTCATATTTGCCACATCAACTGTAATTTCAGTCAAGGTGATATTCCCCAGGACAGCCTCTTCACCAAGGCTTCTGCTTGTGATAAAAGTTGTGTTGTCTGCAGGACAGCCTTCCACGGAGACTGGCTTGAAAGGAGGTGGTGGTTTTGGCCTTCCAAAGCCAATCCAAAGGGTGAACACAAGGCCAATAAGAAGACCTGACATTGCACCCTGAAGGATAAAAAGTCTTAATACTTCATGTAAAAAATAATAATGACTGATGGTAATGCATAAATCTTTACTTATCATGCTCGTGAGTCTGGCACTGAATGTTAAATTATTGCAAATCATACCCATAAGCATTACAATGGATATCCAATTACTGCTCTATCTTTATCACTTGCATATGTCAAAATGCATGTAGTCAACAAAGACAAAGTATATGTACCTTCTGATTTGCACATTTACACAACATCCCCAGAGTAAAAAGGGAGAGCAGAGGTCCCCCAACTGCACCGAAGATAGTCAAGGAAGCCTGGAGGACACCAGTGCCCAGCAATTTTGCTGAAAAAGCTATGGCCATACACACACCACCATAAACACAAGCCAGAATTTTACTGATCTTTGTGGCTTGTTTTTCTCCAATGCCAAGACTGCTGGGGGCAAACGGCTGTTGAGGAGATAAGAAAGACTTAGGAAAAGTAAACAAGAATTATCATTAATGAATCACATATTGCAAAAAAAAACTAGAAACATATTTTTTGGTAAGAATAAGCAACTCTTACCCTGTGCAAGTGAGTGTTATAATTGTTAGCAAATCATACTTTTCAAAATATAAACACTTTTCAAAAGCTAAAGAATTATCCAATACAATGATTTCTGAGCCTCACTTAATGTATCCAGATATCTGAGCTACATTACTCTTTCTCTACTTTGGTCATTCTCCTTTTATAAAACCTTACTACCATATATGAGCGTTCTTAAGAGACAAGCATAATTATATTACATTATATCTAATTTTAAACATGTACTTTCATAATTTAGTCCTTACAGCATTCACTAATGATCTGCACCTACCAGGATGTAGTCTTGCACTGTGACAGCTGCTAAAGAATTCAAAGCAGAAGAAACAGTTGACAGTGATCCACTGAAAATTCCTGATACAAATAGTCCTGACAGTCCTGGGATCATCCCCATAGTCTCAACTACATAGAGAGGTAGCAACTGGAAGAAGAAGAAAAAAAGAAAATGGAAAAAAAAATCAATTAATATATTTTTTTGTTGTCTTTAACCCTACAATGACAGTGCCAGAAATTTGTGTCACTCATTCTTGCAACTTCTGGAAACCATCTACCCTTCTGGCTGAGGAGTTCACTGCGTATAGCAGAACTTTCCACTTGACTTGCTTTAGCGAGTTGTGATGCCTATAGCCATACCCATCATGATGAGATGGTTTTTCATGATGGTTGTATGTATACCAAGCTATATGAGGTTAAGTACTAAAGGTTCAGAGAATTCTTAAAATCAATAAATGCAGATTCAGACTTATTATCACCAATATCATCATCTATATAAAGACATCCATATAGAGAAAGAGAGATATATACTTGGTCTGAGTTTGATATGCGACCACTCTTCATAGGGTCACAAAGATGATACTGAGCATACAGCACCAGACCAGCAAAGGATGTGGACAAGCTGAGGAGAGTTAATATTGGCCATTGGATCCATAATGATCCCTGTGCTCTTCGAAGGTCTCTGAAACAAGTGTGCAAGAAATTATTTCTCTAGTGTATTTTGTGAATGGTGCTAAAAATAATCTCAGTTATGTAAAGAATTATAAATAACATATTGATATATAGCAAAAATAAAAATATTAATGTATACAAAACTATAAAAGACATAATACTATTCATAAAGTTGAATTAACAGACTGATTAATATAAAAATAAAAGATAATGAATAATGCAGATAAAACAAAGAGCCAGAGAATATATCTATAACTCTAGAACAACATCCAAAGAACATACTTAATGGTGAGGAGCCTTTGTACTTGTGCCTGGTTAACACCATACAAAGAACAGTATGTGAAGATACCACCAATACCAAGGCTCCAAATAGTGTGCCTCTCACGTGGATCTGGCGAGACACTGAAATAACAAAGTGCGGCTACATTAACTTTCTTCCAAGATCTTAAAATATTACATACATACACATATAAAAAACCTTCATAATACAGATAATGTTTTCAAAATATATTTGGCATTTTGGAATTAAAACAATAACAAGGTATAACTCAAACTATACTACAACATGACTTTAAAACACAAATCTTACTTGAAAAACTCTAGTCTTTCGCCTTCTTTGGCAATCTTAAAAATATTAGAAACACCATGATCTTTTACACCCCGAGTAATCACAGCAAAGATAGCAGCAAACATGAGTAGCGACTGGAAGACATCAGTTACCAGCACAGCCTTCATTCCACCCAATGTGGAGTAGAAAGTACAAACTAATCCTACAGCTATGATGGACCACTGAAGAGATATTCCTGTGGAAGACATTTTGTATTATAGCTGATGGTGAAATAATGACAAATATTAAGTTTCTGAAGCATTATATCAAGCACCCACTCACTTATCCACCCACTCATTCACTCACTAAACTAAATAAGCAGAATCATCTTATGTATTTAATATGAACTGTATGTAAAAAAATAAAAAAAAGAAAAAGGAAATAAAGAAAGAAATAAAGAAAAAAAGTTTAATTCTATTTCTGGACTGCACTGCATACAACTGTTTAGTACATTATCACTGTCTACAGTATACACAAAT